CCCCAAAACCCCAAAACCCCAAAACCCCAAAACCCCTTAACAGTTATTTTCAGTTGAATTATAAATTCTCAAATAAATTCAAATGAATAATGGAAGAAGACCCTCAAAGATGAGGGTGCTTAAACAAAGACCTTCTAGTCATTCTAAGACTACGAAAATCCCTCCTCGTGCTAATAATAATGTGCCTAACTTCCGGTTTTCAAGGCCTCAATACTCAAGTTTACGAAAGGGTAATTCAATTCTTATTTCTTAGAAGAATACAAGAAAAATACTTCTCAATTTTATGAGTTGGGAAAATATTTGAGAAATACAGAATCGGGAGGAAAGTGCCTGAATTGATCACAATATTACGACAGAAAATCAAGTCTTACAGTAAGGTGACTTTAAGAGCACTGTTTCTTAACTCAATTTTATAGAACTCGGTCGATGCTTCTAGGAAGAAGTTCTCTTCAATAGCAAAACGGAGTAATTCTGTTTATAAAGCAGGCAACAGTAGCTTTACAGCTGGTTATCAGCACCCCCTGGGTAGTAGGATCTTGTCAAAGGCGGATACAATCCTTGAGAAGGGCAAGAAGTACTCTTCAGAGTACTATAGTCAGAATAAGAGGGTTTCTTCTATAAAAATAACTTCAAAGAATGAAAGACAAAAGATCTCATTCACAAGTCTTCTTAAGAAACACCAACAAACAAGGGAGACCTGGAAAAGAAAGCTGCACAGAGTCCAAGACCTTGACCAGAGTTTTAAAGATCTAGACCAAGTAGACCCTGATGAAGTTGAGAGGGAAGTTCCTGTGAAGATCGATACACAAGAAGTCAGAGGTATCAGCGAAGAAGCCCCTGCTAAATTAAATAAATCTGTTGAGGAATCCAGGATAAAGATTTTTAATGGCGAGCCAAAATCAAAAGAGAAGAAAGCCCTTCCTGCACCACTTTCAATTCTGAAGCCTGTCATACAGCAAGTAAATATATGTAAGAGCGATGAGTTGAAGAGGCAGAAGGAAGAAGCTGAGAAATGTCACAAAAGAGATGAGATGATGAAGGAAGTTAATGATATTATTGGAGAACTCCAGTCTATCCTTCATCCTAAAACTTCCAATACTTATCATGAGTCTATCAGTGAGCTACCTGAGTTTCTCTCCTTATACAGTGAGTCTCCTGCGAAGCGACCAGTTTTGGGAGACTGAAAATAAAAATCTCTGAAATGAAGAATTTTTAAGTAACAATGAAAGTATAAATTCCGGAAAAGAAAATTTTTATGATGAAGATCTTCAGGACATGGAGAGCTTCCATAAAGAGATCGAAGCTAAAATTGCTAATAATACATCCAACATTTACTGAGATAAAGGGCTTAGTGAGTACAACAACTGAGATAGCCCAAAAACACAGAAGGAAGAGAAAAGAGTGCTAATCGACATGACCAACCAACAATAATTCTATTTAATCGTTATTGACGGGGTTTTGGGGTTTTGGGGTTTTGGGGTTTTGGGG